AACCTAACCCTTACCTTAAGTTGAATCGGCTTGCTTTCAAAGGGCTATTTAAAGAGCCCCTCTTTTTCCGCGCTGGCTGTTGTCGCCCTGTTGATGACATCAGCGACGCGGTTTAATCGGGCGTGGCTTAGTCGAGCACGGTTTTGACGGGTCACGGCAGACAATCAATGCAGCCGGTCATTAGATGGCAGCAAAGTACTAAAGATTCCTATTTTTCTTTTCTGCCAAGGTAGATCTTTGTCTGGATTTTTACAGCCCAGATATATTATGACGGACCTAGGTTTCTCACTTGTTCAGTTAATCATGTCTTGGTACTTAGTATGATCTGTGAATACAGCAGTGATGGGTTGCAGGCGGTACGTCCTGGTATGGGCATACCGGAGCCTGCCTGGAGCACCAGGTACCGTTCTATGGTGCCCCCCCCCCCTGTATGGGCGTACCGGAGCTTCCCTGGAGCACCAGGTACCTTTCTGGTTGGTGCTCCAGACGGCCCACCCGCCTGCCCGAGCTCCTTACCTGTCCTTTAAGCCTTTGGCGCTTCTGCACACACGCATGGTGCGTACAGCACCTGTGCAATGCTTTGCCAAGCAGCTGGAGTGTCGCGGAGGCAAATTTGGTCATGTACCGGTTGGAACGGGATCCGGGACCCACCACTGGAATACAGCTATAGCTTCAACCAAATTTGGAATTACTCCTTACATACGGCACCACATAACACTAAAAATCAGATTAAAACATCTCTTATTTGTTTTCTTTTTAGACTATTTTACATTCCTATAAGTCAGAATTGGATGTACAGAAATATAATTACGTTTTATAGCATGCTCTGAAATATTTTAAGACTCTTATTGCATTCAACTTGCTTTATTGTAATTTTCTAACCAGAAAGATCTAGGCTTCCTTAACACAGAGCTCCCACAGTCAATGTTAAACGTGACACCTACTTATTGATTCGTATTAGTATTGATAAAATTATGAAATGCACAAATCCCCAGTTGTACAGACCACAGTTCAGGTCCAGAAAGTTGAGTACAATCTATTTCGGAGATGTGAGATACTTTTCTGTAAAGGTATGTTTGTTTATTCTTTTCTTTTATTATTTGCATGTTTATTCTTTTCTTATACAATTATTTTTTTCCATCATGGCCATAAAATACTTTACGGGAAAATCTAAATACTTCTACATTTAGCTTGGTAGCAATCTGGTGATGTGCATTTTTTTTCCACAGCAAATGTAATCTAGTTACATTTGGAGCCGAGGTGGCGCAGTGGTTAAATGCAGCACTGCAGGCNGTGAATCGGCTTGCTTTAAAAGCGCTTTTTAAAGCACCCTTTTTTCTCCGCGGTCGCTGTTGTCGCGCTGCTTTAATCGGGTGCGCTTTAGTGGACCGCGGTTTTGTCGTGCCACGCTTAACTTCTCCAAAGCATCTCCGTATCCCTTTTGAGGTCCTCAAGCCCTCCTTTCTCCCTGCTGCTCTCCCAGGTGATGTGGTTGCCCAGTCTGGACAGGCCTCTCGTTCAGGAGGCGGCCCCCGGATTCCAGCAGACCTCTGGCCGGAAGACAGACGCTCGGCGGTTGAGAGAGCGAGGTTTCCAGAAGCTCAACCTGAGATACACCCAGGTCACCCGCGAGGATATCAGGTGCGGTTCTCCGCCCGCACCGCTGCCGATCTGGTCCTTCGGCCTACTCTTCAGAGGCAGGGCATGGCGGGTGATGGGGCAGTAATGGAGGCGCCAATGAACAGAAAAAGAGAAGGGAACTTGCGGGTTATCTAGTCCAACCCTCCGGCCAAGCAGGAGACCCTATTACACCATTTCTGACAGATCTTCTCACTTATGGCCTTGGGGGTCCCTCGCAGCTGCCCTTCCCAAGACCTCCCCTCTGGCTCTGCTTGTTTACATGGACGTAGATAGGTCGGGCATTGGTGGTCTCTGATTGTTAAGTGGAGCGGTCCCTGCAGAGGTGGAATTCACCAGTTCTGGAGAACCGGTAGCGGAAATTTTGAGTAGTTCAGAGAACCGGCAAATACCACCGCTGGCTGGCCCCGCCCTCATCTAATCTCCGCCTCCTGAGTCCCAGCTGATTGGGAGGGAATGGAGATTTTTACAGTACCCTTCCCCTGCCACGCCCACCAAGCCATGCCACGCCCACCGAGCCATGCCACGCCCACCGAGCCACGCCCACAGAACCGGTAGTAAGACAATTTGAATCCCACCACTAACGATTAGGGAGATAGATAGATAGATAGATAGATAGATAGATAGATAGATAGATAGATAGATAGATAGATAGATAGATAGATAGATAGATAGATAGATA